GTTCTTCCACTGCAGCACAATGACCAACAAATAATGTCATTGGATGAGCTCAACTTCAGTGGGCGGGGCCAGTGTAATAGCTCAGCCAATCAAATAGTTTTGTGCTTCCACAGCAGCTCTGTCTCTGTCTCTGATCTTTACTGCTTCATGTTGTCTTTGTCATCAGTCCAAAGACAAAAACATATGTGAACTGCTTCAGTCTTTCCAGTCATGTCAAGGCTTCCAAAGTTTACAGTGAAATGATGACTTATGTGATGAATCTTAAATTATCTATTTTCACTAAATGATGATATATAGACAGATACTTTATATGTACAGAAAACCTAAAAAAAAAACAAATAAAAGAAAAAAGGAAGTTAGTTAAAAACATTCGTGATATTTAAAGTCCCTGAACTGAATATTTCCTTTGTTTTTTGCCAAGTTACTGAATTAACAATGGAAATGAGTTTATTTGCTCTGTGTTGTTCTAAAGATGTTTTTTTTAGATGCCAAGACAGATTTCTCTCTTTTTTAAAACTGGCTTTCAAATCCATCACTGGCCTTGTCCCAGAGTTAGTGACCAATATGATTCTAAAAGTCAGCTCAGGGAGCCTGCAAACTACCAAAATCCAAAACATTACTTGGTGAGTCCTCGTTTTCTTTCAAATGTCCTCATATTTTGAATAGTTTACCATCTGCAATAAAACTAGCTGATGTTCAACATTCAGTCTGAGAACTGTTCTCTTCACAGCAGCACTTATTATTGACACAATGGTTGAACACAGTGCAGAAGGAGAGCCCCGCCTACTGGATGATGTCGCCCTCTGTCTCCTCTTTGAGTCTGACTTCTCTCACTTCCTCTTCCTCCTGGTTCACAGACTGTTAGCAGCATTTGAATCACTGTGAGGAGGGAGGAGGGAGCACTTTGCACTGTGTGCAAGGACAACGAGCCAAATGTTCTCCATCACTGAGCTGATTAATACTTGAAATTTAAGAATTATATGAGGCTTAAGTTTGACATGAACAGAATTTCACCAAAACAGAATCTCTTACAGAATTCACCTGCTTGCTGCTACTACTGCACATTCACCTAATGTATATACTATATATATAATGTTCTCCCTCTACCCCCCCCCCTCCACCACCACTATTTTTGCACATGTCGAGGAGCGTGGGAGCGTGTCAGGTTACATTTCACTGTGTGTTATACTTGTATAATTATACATGTGACAAATAAAGAACCTTGAACCTTGAGCCTCTTATGGTTATGATTAGAGAAAAATACACATGGCATAAGTCGAACAGGGAATTAAAAGCAAAACTAAAATTGAAAAGAACACATCATCTCATCTATATGAAAGTATGAGCACCAGAACTTCTGATTTATTAGACAAAAGGCCAAATATTTAAGATCTGAATATAATAAAAAATAATTCATGGCCAAATCGTAATAATAATTAACACATAATTTATTCTGGAAATGCTTTGTGAGTTCCTATGTAATCAAACTGTGTTTGTTGTAGTGGTGGATTAGCAGGTAGCTGAGCTAGCTCTCCTGAGCCTCCAGAACACGAGGAGAACAGCTGGACGGGCTCACCTGAGCTTCCAGCGAGGTCAGAAACTGCACCTGCCGGGAACAACACCCGAGGAGCAGTTTGTTTGTTCTGAACTCACCAAATCCAAACAGTAACTCCTTTTTTAAAAATAAGATTTAAAAATGTCATATTATTCTGCGGTGTCAGTTTAAGGAGGCAGTGGATTCAAGATAGGAATCATGTTAAAGTTCAACCTAAGAAAATCATTCAGATAATTTCAAAACAGAAAACTTCAAATTAAATTTATAATATTTGTGATTTTCTTGTTTTTCATGGATGTAGAAAAACATTGTTTTCAGCTGGAAACTGATTTGAAACAGAGAAATCTTCGACAGCGGAACAGTTAAAGGTAAATGCCCTCTGCCGGAACAACAACCGTGTGACACCAAGCGGAAATAAAGAAAGGAAAGGCGCGTGTGTGAACAGAGCCGGGAGTGTGGGACCGAAAGAGTCAGCACATCACTGTGGTGTTAGCGGCTTTGCACTGACTCCCCGAGCTCTCTGTAATACTTTACATTCATTAATAAGAGAGAGAGGGAGGTGCGTTAACAGTCCCGCTCTGTCGGAGCTTTATCACGTGACACCAGGCGGAAGTAAACAAAGGAAAGGCGCAAATTGCGTTAGCTTTCCAGAGACTGTTGTTGTTGTGTGAGCCGCGGCAGCAACGATGCCTTCAGTTCAGTATCTGAGAGAGTTCATCAACGAGCGACTAACTGCTGCTGCTGAACAAATATTCTTGGAGTTTGAAAAAACGATCGTCCAGTACGAGGAAGAGATCGACCGTCAGCGCAGACTGCTGGATATCACCTGGAAACCCCAAATCAAGCTGCACAGGACAGGTGAGTGTCCCTCTGAGGGAGGATCCTGATCACAGCTCTGCGGGACGTTTCTGATTGTGAGGACTTTTTGGAGATGTGAGCTAACAAAGAGCAAACAGAGGACAGGACTGCGCTGCGCTCCATTCAAACAGCAGGCGCTGAAATCATTTAAAGCTTTGAAGTCTGAACTTTTTCCTCTTGATGGTTTTTTAGCTAAGGAATCAGATTTATATATAAGACCAAGCTAAGAGAAATCTGAGCATGGATAGTGTGTGAGGCTGCACATGTGTTACATGTACAGGGAGTGCAGAATTATTAGGCAAGTTGTATTTTTGAGGAATAATTTTATTATTGAACAACAACCATGTTCTCAATGAACCCAAAAAACTCATTAATACACTGAACAAAAATATAAACGCAACACCTTTGTTACTGCTCCCATTCCCCATGGGATGGACGTAGAGACCTAAAATTCATTCCAGATACACAATATAACCATCCCTCCCAAACAGTGGTCACAAATCAGTCCAAATGTGTGGTAGTGGGCACATCTGCCATATTGAGATAATCCATCCCACCTCACAGGTGTGCCACATCAGGATGCTGATCTGACATCATGAGTAGTGCACAGGTGTACCTCAGACTGCCCACAACAAAAGGCCACCCTGGAATGTGCAGTTTTTTGTGCTATTGGGGGTCTGGGGACCCAGAACCGGTCAGTATCTGGTGTGACCACCATTTGCCTCATGCAGTGCAACACATCGTCGCATGGAGTCTATCTCAATATGGCAGATGTGCCCACTACCACACATTTGGACTGATTTGTGACCACTGTTTGGGAGGGATGGTTATATTGTGTATCTGGAATGAATTTTAGGTCTCTACGTCCATCCCATGGGGAATGGGAGCAGTAACAAAGGTGTTGCGTTTATATTTTTGTTGAGTGTATCAAAGCTGAATGTTTTTGGAAGTAGTTTTTAGTTTTAGCTATTTTAGGGGGATATCTGTGTGTGCAGGTGACTATTACTGTGCATAATTATTAGGCAACTTAACAAAAAACAAATATATACCCATTTCAATGATTTCTTTTTACCAGTGACACCAATATAACATCTCCACATTCACAAATATACATTTCCGACATTCAAAAACAAAAACAAAAACAAACCAGCGACCAATATAGCCACCTTTCTTTGCAAGGACACTCAAAAGCCTGCCATCCATGGATTCTGTCAGTGTTTTGATCTGTTCACCATCAACATTGCGTGCAGCAGCAACCACAGCCTCCCACACTGTTCAGAGAGGTGTACTGTTTCCCCTCCTTGTAAATCTCACATTTGATGATGGACCACAGGTTCTCAATGGGGTTCAGATCAGGTGAACAAGGAGGCCATGTCATTAGTTTTTCTTCTTTTATACCCTTTCTTGCCAGCCACGCTGTGGAGTACTTGGACGCGTGTGATGGAGCATTGTCCTGCATGGAAATCATGTTTTTCTTGAAGGATGCAGACTTCTTCCTGTACCACTGCTTGAAGAAGGTGTCTTCCAGAAACTGGCAGTAGGACTGGGAGTTGAGCTTGACTCCATCCTCAACCCGAAAAGGCCCCACAAGCTCATCTTTGATGATACCAGCCCAAACCAGTACTCCACCTCCACCTTGCTGGCGTCTGAGTGGGACTGGAGCTCTCTGCCCTTTACCAATCCAGCCACAGGCCCATCCATCTGGCCCATCAAGACTCACTCTCATTTCATCAGTCCATAAAACCTTAGAAAAACCAGTCTTGAGATATTTCTTGGCCCAGTCTTGACGTTTCAGCTTGTGTGTCTTGTTCAGTGGTGGTCGTCTTTCAGCCTTTCTTACCTTGGCCATGTCTCTGAGTATTGCACACCTTGTGCTTTTGGGCACTCCAGTGATGTTGCAGCTCTGAAATATGGCCAAACTGGTGGCAAGTGGCATCTTGGCAGCTGCACGCTTGACTTTTCTCAGTTCATGGGCAGTTATTTTGCGCCTTGGTTTTTCCACACGCTTCTTGCGACCCTGTGGACTATTTTGAATGAAACGCTTGATTGTTCGATGATCACGCTTCAGAAGCTTTGCAATTTTGAGACTGCTGCATCCCTCTGCAAGATATCTCACTATTTTTGACTTTTCTGAGCCTGTCAAGTCCTTCTTTTGACCCATTTTGCCAAAGGAAAGGACGTTGCCTAATAATTATGCACACCTGATATAGGGTGTTGATGTCATTAGACCACACCCCTTCTCATTACAGAGATGCACATCACCTAATATGCTTAACTGGTAGTAGGCTTTCGAGCCTATACAGCTTGGAGTAAGACAACATGCATGAAGAGGATGATGTGGACAAAATACTCATTTGCCTAATAATTCTGCACTCCCTGTAGAGGTGACAGTATCTTCATGTAGTTGACTTTATTCCCCTTTTCAATTTTTTTTACTCGTACAAGCTTATGGTTGCAGAGGATATTTACTGATTTGTACATTTTTTTTAATCATCGCATCTGTTTTATTATTTTCATCCCTCCAGATGTCCCACTGCAGCCTGTCTGTGAGGAGGAGGTTCTCCCTGAGCTGCAGCTCTGTGACCAGGAGGAACCAGAACCTCCACAGATTAAAGAGGAACAGGAGGAACTGTGCAGCAGTCAGGAGGGGGAGCAGCTGGGACTGAAAGAGGAGATGGATACCTTCATGGTGACTGTTGCTGAGGAAGGAGAGCACAGTGAACCAGAAGCAGACCGTGAACAGCTTCCATCTCTCAGCTCTGATAACTTTTTTTGTACCAAACCAACAGACACGGAAGACATTAGAATTTTTTTCCAGTACAAAGAAGACATCAACCATCAACAAAGGCAGTTGGCTGTCACCTGGAAGCCAGAAATAAAGCTCTACAGAATAGGTGAGTCAGTCTCAGGGAGGATCCTATCAGGAGGATCAGAGGAGCAGGTCATTAATCCATAAAGAAACTGACCACATGACTGAAACTATAGTCAAATGTCTGTAGCTCAGTTTGTAGAGCAGGTCACCTACCAACTAGAAGGTTGGTTTGATCCCCATTTCTGCCACTCAGGTGGGTTTTTGCTGTTTTGCAGCTTGCAGGCGTGTTTCACCTGCATGGAGAGCTCCTTTGACCGCATGTTGTATGTTCACAGCAAAATCTTCCAAATGCAAGCACCACAACTCAGATCAACTCCAGGCCTTTTATCTGCTTAATTGATAATGACATAACAAAAGTATTGCCCATGAAATGGTATTTGAGTCAATTGTCCAATTACTTTTGGTCCCTTTAAAAAGAGGGTGGCACATGTTAAGGAGCTGAAACTCTTAAACCCTTCATCCAATTATAATTGGAATAAAATGTGTTTCATTTCATCTGACCAGCTCCTTTGCTGATTAAAATGAGAATCTTGGGCTTATTTTTACTATTTTCTATCCAGAAAAGAACTCAGGTTGTGACCACTGGATTATCGGACTGGACTGGTGGTACTGTCTTTTAAGAAGGGAGGGTGTGCTCCAGCTGTGTGGGGGATCACACTGCTAAGCCTACCTGGGAAGGTGTACGCTGGAGTACTGGAGAGGAGAATTCATCCATTAGTCAAACATCAGATGGAGGATGTACAGTGCAGTTTTCATCCTGGTCATCGAACGCTGGCTCTTTATCCTCTTGAGGCTGTTCGAGAGTGTGTGGGAGTTTGCCCAACAGTCTACAGTGCTTTGTGGACTTGGAGAAGGTATTCGACTGCAGTCCTTGGGGTGTCCTGTGAACGGTGCTTTGGAACTATTGGCTATTTTGCCGTTGTCAAAGGGCAGTTAGTCTCTGTACAGCTGCCCTGAACTTGGTCCATGTTGGCAACAATAAGTTGGACTCATTCCTGGTGGATGATGGGTTCCAGCAGTGCTGCCCTTCATCACCAGTTCTACTTTTATATCATCAGGACTTCTTGGTACAGCAAAGTGGCAGAGAGTCTCAGGTTTGGTGGTCCCAGAATCTTAACTGTGTTCAACAGACGACTTGTTTCTTTTGGTGGTGACTTGATGCACTTTGCAGCTGTAAGTCACCTGGTGCAGAGTGTGAAACAGCGGAAATGAGAATTTAGCATCTCAAAGTCCAGAGCCATGACTCTCAGCTGAAAAAGGGTGGCGTGCCCAATTCCAGGCAAAGGCAGATCTGATATCCTTAACTGCTGTCTTTGCACAGTCATGTGGTTGATTGTCGATTATTGCCATTCCTTCAGCCATGTTGAATGTGTGCCATAGGTGATATGCAGCTGTGTAAGCGTGCTGGAGATCTTTGTCTTCCTGGCTGGTGTCTAAATGAATGCACTTGAGCTCAAAAATGCCACTACTCCATGGTTTGTGTTGAAATCTCTCATGCCAAAAGCCACCAACCGACACCTCTGCCAGCATTCCATATTGGGACAAATCGTGGACCTGGCTGCTGTTGCTGTAGCTTTGGTTCACGCTCAGGCTGTGCTCGTGTAGCCAATGCAGCAGCCACAGATTGTTGTATCTCTGTTTTTAAGTCAGCTGATACAGCCACCATTTGTTTAGCTTTTGTTTTGTTCATGTTAAACTCTGAGTCCCTTTCTTCCATCTAATGTTTAAGCAACCTTTTGGTTAATTGTTTAATCTTTTGCTCTGGTTTCTCTCCATGTCTCCTGACATGATGTTGCAAGTACTCTCTCCATAACGAGTCTGTCATAGCACTCAAGTCGACCACCCCATCCAGCGAGTCTTGTACAGATCTTGGCACTGATTTCTCCACAAGAGTAAGGTTGCCTCACTCGTATCAGGCCGCACACTTGTGTGATGTTTTCAGAGTTTGGCTGCTTGTTCCAGATATTCAGCCAGAGACTCGTTGGCTTCCAGCTTCAATCATTTGAGTGCCCTTTAGGGCTGCCACAAATGATTATTTTCATAGTCGACTAGTCACAGATTATTTTTGCGATTAGTCGACTAATCAGATTATCATCCATTGGACGTAAAACGTACAGCTTATTGCACCAACATGAATCTGCTCTTATATGTGATTAGCTTACAGCTTTAAGTGTTTAGTAGGGGTGCAACGATACACAAAATTCACGGTTCGGTTCGATACTTTGGTGTCACGGTTCGATATTTTTTTCAATACAAAAAAATGTTCATGCCTTTTTAATTAACATTTATTAAAATTATAAATATATATTTTAACTGAAAAGTACAGTTTTTAATTTAATGTTGCTGAAACTACAAAGTAATTTAAAAAATCTATCTGATTGAGGAATCACTCATCTTTGGAAAAGAGAGTTTATTACAGAGAAATGGCTCTTTCCAAAATAAAAGCTATACTATACGCTTCTTCTGGGCTATATTCTCAGCAGCATATTAAACATATCAGGTCCCCATAAGGAGAATCCTGTGCTAACGGCTGTCTAAATGACTCGGGTAAAGTTTGTAGCATGCTGCTTGTTGTTTTTGTCTGCTTCCACTTGTCTTTGCACTAGGATGCTGTCGGAGTAAATGTGCAGTCATATTCGTTGTGTTCCCACTAGTGCTGTCAGCGTTAATCTCGTTAAAATGACGTTAACGTCACAACACGGCAAATCTCCGTTAACGAGCTACCGTGGATCGCCCCGTGCGTGGGGCTGGACGGCAACATGTTAACAAGCTAACTGCGCTAACACACTAGTTCCCACCCATGTAATTGAGCATTGCGTGGCACATCCAACATACTGTTTTACTTTAGTCCATGACTCGCTTACCTTCAGGGTCATACGTCACATGAAAACCAAATTAGTTCCAAACGCCAGATCTGAATGAGGGTGGGGGAGGTTCAATTTCGGGTAGCGTTGAGGCAGTTGCCATGTTGCAACGAGCTTAGTTTCTGTCTTGCTAGCTTGTGCTGTGCTCAGTGGATCTGCGCTCGACAGTGCAGCCTAGGCAGAGTAGTCGAACGCAGATCCACTGAGCTCTCAACACAGACAGCATCGTCAGGAGAAAAGTTGATAAAATAAATGAAAAATTTTGTATTGTTCGATACATATGCGTACCGAACCGAAAGCAGTGTATCGAACGGTTCAATGTCGATACGAGTATCGTTGCACCCCTAGTGTTTAGGTATGTACTAACTAAAAACAAAGACAAGATGATAGTTTATTAAGTTTTGATGATATTTGCAGATTGTTTCGGTGGAGTTTAATAAACTCACCCGTCTGATCCTTGCTATCTAAAATATAACAGGACACCGGAGTAAATTCTCGAGCATCTCACACTTCTGATAATCAGCTGTCTGCTTGATGTTTATTCAGCTGTGTAAAAACTTTAATCTCAGCCAAACCGATTTACTCAGGAACAAATAAAATACTGAAAAAAGCCAAACAATAACATTTTTAAGTTCTCTAAGTGACTCATATATCCTGTTGAACCAGAGTGGCAAAAATTCTTGAGGGGTTTAAAACGATTTGCCGGGAGTCCGGTGTTCTCACGGCTCTAGTTAGCCTAGCCCCCGGCTCGCTATCGAGCTAGTGGGTAACAGACGTCTCTGAAAACGTCGGAGCGCTTTTGAAAATATGCGGTGTCTTGATAAACTGAGCAGATATTTGAGGTTTACACAGCTACATTCTCGCCTGAAAATATGTTAAACGTTTATTTTGTGACCCAGAAAGAATAATAAGAGTAACATTAAAACTAACTAGCTGCCGCCATTGTTGGAAACTGAGCTGGGCCGCGCTATGAATTCTGGGGCAGGTTGGGCCACGAGGGATACACCCAACCCATCCTTCAAATCTGGGGAAATGAAGGACGCATTTGTCGGCCGCGTTTGTCGGAGTCTTTAAATTTGGACAGTCTTCGTTGTGTAGCTGTAACGTAATTGGCCTACAAATGCGGGCACAGGAGGATGCGGTTCCTCAATTTGGACACAGCTACGATACCGGACACTGCTTCTTCTTCTTCTTCGTGGATTAACAGCAGCTGGCATCCTTGTACATGCAGTGCTGCCATCTTCTGTTTCAGTCCGATATTACACTCTTAAATCCTGCTACTTATTCCTGCGTCTTTTGGGATCTTGCAAAGCTTCAAACGACGCGTCGACTATTAAATCAGTCGTCTACAATTTTGATAGTTGACGTAATCATAACTAAATGACTAATCGTGGCAGCCCTAGTATTAAAATACACCAAATGTTTTCCTTTTAAGCACATTTTATATAAATCCGATTTTACCAGTAGGCTACCATTGTTATTAACTTCTCAATGCACTCTGGGTAATGATGTCATACGGTTGCACAGCATTGAGTTCACAGTTAGCAGCGCACTGAAAATGGGTTCTGTTCAACCTTTCCAGTATGAACCAGTGCAAACCGAGAGAGGATGAAAATAGTCAACCATAGTCTATGCGGCTGCTGCTTGCCAATGGCAACGGTGACTGAGAGCATAAAGAGCTCAATTTTATGGCAGCAGCTATCCATGGTATCGCATAACTGCATGATCAAACCATTAACACATTTTAATTTTTATTATATAGTGAAATTACGATATTGTTGTTCTTACAGATTCTCCATGCAACACAGTGCACCAAAACTTTGAAGCCGTATGTCTTAATACAGATGTTCTTTGGGCAGCCCTCGTTAGCCTCCATGACCGGCATAGTACTGGTTTACCAAGTCGTAACCAGGTCACTAGTAGGCAAGTTAATTAACACCCTCGCCGACAACCAATACGTGTCATCGTCCCAGAATGCATTGTGTACGAAAAAACATGGCCGCTCCCACGGCTCCAAAAATAGTTTTAAACAACAAAGATTTAATGGAAAAACAAAAATTGTAGTTATTCTCAACTATGTTTTTATGTAGTGAAGATAATTTGTAACATATTTAGAGTAACTTGTCATAATAGCCGGGGGTCCTTCTAAGGCGTTAAAAAATTCAGCAAATGAAAACGAAACGATCAACAGTTTCTGCCAGATCACTGTCGCCAAAGTGCTGCTCATAGGGGGTCATATGATTGTTGGGATTTTCTCTGTATCTGTTATTATAGGATGTACTGTACAATATAAAGCGCCTTGAGGCAACTTTTGTTGTGATTTGGCGCTACATAAATTGAATTGAATCGTCGGCGTCAGTGTATCTACAGGAAATGATGATTTGGTTAAAAATGTCTGCCAACTGACTTCTTCCCCTCTTCTGTGGAACCAGCTTCCAGTTTGGATTCGGGAGACAGACACTATCTCTACTTTTAAGATTAGGCTTCAAACTTTCCTTTTTGCTAAAGCATATAGTTAGGGCTGGACCAGGTGACCCTGGATCCTCCCTTAGTTATGCTGCAATAGACGTAGACTGCCGGGGATTCCCATGATGCATTGAGTTTTTCCTTTCCAGTCACCTTTCTCACTCACTATGTGTTAACAGACCTCTCTGCATTGAATCATACTTGTTATTAACCTCTGTCTCTCTTCCACAGCATGTCTTTATCCTGTCTTCCTTCTCTCACCCCAACCAATCACAGCAGATGGCCCCGCCCCTCCCTGAGCCTGGTTCTGCTGGAGGTTTCTTCCTGTTAAAAGGGAGTTTTTCCTTCCCACTGTCGCCAAAGTGCTTGCTCATAGGGGGTCATATGATTGTTGGGTTTTTCTCTGTATCTATGAAGCGCCTTGAGGCGACTTTTGTTGTGATTTGGCGCTATATAAATAAAATTTAATAAAATTGACTTCTTCCCAAAACCCTATCAGCTCGCTGATCACATGAAAACCTGCAGAAGCACTTTGGTTAACAGCAGCTCTTCTGAATGGAGCTGCTGATAGTTTTTAAGCTGCTTTTACTGCTCAGGGGACGAGCTTTCATGTTCCAGAGCAGCTGACATTAACTTCCACTATGGACCCGCCTCATCTGCAATAATTCAGCAGTCGTGAATGCACAAATACAAAAGTCAGCCATTACTTTTATGTAACTCTGGGTATAATCGGCTCTGCTCACAACCTCTTGAGATTCTGAGGAGCGAAGCCGATTTTCAAAAATGAGTCCAACGTCTAACATCATCACTTTTCTTCTTCTTGTGTCCTTTTTTTCCCTCCAGACGACCCACAGCAGCACGTCTGTAAGGAGGAGGAGGAGGTTCTCCCTGAGCAGCAGCTCTGGAACCAGGATAGGAGCTCCAGTGTGGAGCAGGAGGAACCAGAAGCTCCACAGATTAAAGAGGAAGAGGAGGAACTGTGCAGCAGTCAGGAGCGAGAGCAGCTGGGACTGAAGGAGGAGACGGATACCTTCATGGTGACTGCTGCTGAGGAAGGAGAGCACAGTGAACCAGAAGCAAACACTGACCAGCTCCCCTCTCACAGCTCTGATATTTTTGCGTTTCTTCAGTCCAAATCTAAAGAAATATTTGAAGTTATTAATAATTCTATCCAGTACGAGGAAGAGAACGACCATCAGCACAGACTCATGGATGTCAGCTGGAAACCCGAAATACAGCTTCACATTACAGGTATGTAAAAGTCTGAATGAAGTCACACATGAATGGGACTCATGAAGCATCCTGATCACAGCTCTGCGGGACGTTTCTGATTGTGAGGGCTTTTTGGAGATGTGAGCTAACAAAGAGCAAACAGACTGCACTGTGTAAGTTATGAATCTGAATCATGATCAACATGTTTGAAGGAGGTCAGGAGAGAGGTCTAACAGTCGGCGTCTGCAGCCTTCTGTTGAACACGGTGGAGGTGCTGTCATGGTTTGCGCTGCATTTCAGCCAGTGTTGGAGCTCATATTAACCCTTGTGTGGTGTTCGTATTTTTGTTACTCAGCCAGTGTTCATGGGTCTGGTGGACCCGCTAGAGTTTTGGCTTTCCAAATTAAGACCTACCATAGAACCAAGTCCGCCAGAGCTTATATTATATTTTTACATGCTGTGTAGCCATTTTTGGGAGCATTTCAAGTTGCTATACATCAATACAACCATTATAGCCCAAACTTTAATAATATGTCTGCATTAGGTGCATAGTAATTACATAAATTGCAAAAAAGTGCAATAAACTACAAAAAATTGAAAATCGTTTTTGTTTTTTTAACATATATTTCTAGTTAGAGAAATTTAAGAGGCTCATCCCTCAAAACTGTAAATACAAAAAAGTTGCACAAACTAGTTTCCCACCACAGGAAATTTATTTTGAGTGTCTTCATAGTTTTATTTTTGAAATACACCAATTTTTATACACTGCAGGAAAAACGAAAATAAATATTATAGTGCAAATTTGCAAAATAACAGCATATGCATCAAAATAAACTATTTCCAGCAGTGCAATATGAGTCCTCAGCATCCCAGAAACGACACAGAAAGTCATAAAGTCAAACATAACTTTTTAAAACACAAGTATAGGCTCATAAGGCCCCTATCGTAAAAAAACTACATTTCCGCAAAATGACGCCACTTCCGGTTTCGGGCAGGTCATGCGGTCATGTGATAGTTCGCGCTGATGGACGTAGGAAGTGTTACAAACAGCTGATCGGATCGGCGAAGCGTGTTTCTGGAATATCATGTTTTTGTTGCTGCAAGTGATTTTTATGCAGTTTTTGCAAAGCTATATGTGGAAGGAAACTGTGACCGAGGACAAACTGATGGCATAAGATGTAAGTACAACTCCTCCGGTTTCATATGCAAAAAAAATTATTGCGCTAGCTTACGTGGTTGCAGTGCTACCGGGATTTAAAAATAGTTACGCAAAATGGAGCGTGCCCGCTCCGATCGGCTGTAAAGGGTTAACACTATCAAACAATTTTATGTTAAATTACTCAACAGATGTTTACTTCATCCCAATTACAAGACATATGAACAGCAAACATGGTTAATTTTTTCCCTTTACCTTTGTTAGATCACATTTATGAATTAATGTGCTTCTCGTTTTTCTTTTATATAAAATGTTATAAATAAATCAGTTATAATCAAGTGGAGTGAGTGGAAAGACACAACACATTTACACGTGAAAAAATAATTAATTGTTTAATTTTTCTTTTGAAAAAAACTGAACACAGGTCTCACAGACCCGAACACCATACAAGGGTTAAAACTGAAGGAATTATAAATGCGGAAAAGTACATGCAGATTTAATCCACCGTACAATATCACCTTGAGCCTGGAAATGGCTTCATTTTCAGTCTGAGTATGATCACAAACAGTCAGATGATGCATCAGAAGGTAATCTTTGTTAATGTTGTTGTTACTGTTAGAAAGTTGGTTTGTCGTGTCATACTGATCTTTTTTTTTTTTTTTTTTTTTTTTTTTGCCTGTCCCGTTTGGCTCTTTTGCATCAGAATTGTTGTCTAAAGGCAAAGAAAGATGCCCAACGGATTTACTTTACCAAATTGACCATCCCAGCCTTGCCGTAATGGTCCATTTGATTCACCTTTTATTGTTTATTTTATTTTCACTTACTGAATACGGGACAGACTTGACTGGGGGAAAGAAGGGGAGAAAGAAAGAGGGAAAGAGAAACAGCTGAGAAGAGGGACGGGGGAGAAGGGCAAAAGACAAAAACCAACAGAATGAGCAGAAAAAAAAAAAAGAAATAAAAAATGCATATATCAATCACCTGGATCACCTGCTGTGAAAGAAAAAAACAGTTTTAATCTCCTCCATACCTGCTTCATGCCCTGGAGGACGGGGCTGTGGCCCCCCCACACCCTCTAGCAGATCATTACATGAAGGAACCTTTTAAAAAACAAGCGCGTCCATGCTCACAGGTGTACACACGGGTGATCACACCCACAAACTACACCCTTTTTGGCTCCTACCTCAAAGCACACTGTGTTCTGTTGATCTTATGTGCTGCACAATAATGTTTAATATTTAGTATTTACTGTCATATTCCCATATATCATTGTGATGCTGTTTATTCTATTACTCTTGTTCTCTTCTGCTTGCTTTCTTTTTTCTTTCTCAGCAGGTGATCCAGGTCATACTGATCATTTATTCATTCAGTATATGTTCACTGCCTGCAGCTTTTCTACCTTGCCGTTTAACCTCTCTCTTCCTTTACTGCTGCACGTCTGCTGATGTTCCTCTGTTGATGAGCTTATATCTGGAGTAGCAGCCTTTGTGGATGACACTTATAGTCTCTGTAAAAGTGTTATTTTGACAATGTATTTTCTCAGGCATGTTTTTCTATTATCACATCACAGAGGGAGAGCAGCTTGGACTGAAGGAGGAGACTGATACCTTTATGGTGACTGCTGCTGAGGAAGGAGACCACAATGACCCAGAAGCAAACACTGACCAGCTTCTTTATCACAGCTGTCCTATGAATGAGAGCCAAAATCATGAAGGAAGCTGGAATTTAGATTCAGGGACAAATAGTAACTCAGAGAGTCGGTGTAACTCTGACACAGGTAAAAAGTATTTAACGTGTGATTTTTGTGGAAAATCCTTTAATGAAATGTACAAAATGAATCGACATCTGACAATCCACACAGGTAATAAGCCGTATTCTTGTGAAACATGTGAGAAAAGTTTCACAGTGAAGGGTAATCTGACTGTACACATGAGAACGCACACAGGTGAGAAGCCGTATTCTTGTGAAACGTGTGGGAAAAGTTTTCATTTGTCATCATCACTTAAAGACCATAAGAATGTCCACACAGGTGAGAAACCATATTCTTGTAAAACATGTGGGAAAAGTTTCAGAAACGGGGGTAATTTAAATAGGCACAAGAAAGCACACACAGGTGAGAAGCCGTATCATTGTAAAATATGCAGGAAGATGTTCATTCGTAGAAGAAGTTTATCTGAACACATAAGAATGCACACAGGTGAGAAGCCGTATTCTTGTGAAACTTGTGGAAAAAGTTTTTATTTTTCATATTCACTTAAAAGACATATGACTGCCCATACAGGTGAGAAGCTGTATTCTTGTAAAACCTGTGGGAAAAGTTTAACACAGAGGGCTAGTTTGACCATACACATGAGACTGCACACAGGTGAGAGACCGTATCGTTGTAAACGATGCAGGAAAAAATTTATAAGTAGTAGTTGTTTATCGGTACACATGAAAAAAGCACACAAGTGAGAAACCGTATCATTGCAAAACATGTGGAAAATGTTCCCATACAGAAGAAGTCGTAGTCTTGAAGAATTTAGAGAGACTGACATCTGAGAGACCTAGCGTAACAGAAGATCTAAGGATTTATACAGGTTCACAGGAGAGCTGTTAAGAGAATATTTATCTACCGGGTGGTTGAAACTCAATTTGAATATCAAGTTTTATATTTGCTGTCTATTCGTTGATAGCTGATAGCTTTTGCTGATTTGGAGTTGGTGTCTTGTGATGTAAAAGTGCATTTGAGCTATTTGTTTTTTAATAAATAGAAAATGTTGAAGGTTTTTTTTAATTTTGTTTTTTACATTTTGTAGCTATTCAGTTTATTTGGTTCATATCATTTTTGGTTATTTAGTTCATTGACTTTGTTTTGTTTTTGTTTGTTTTTTACTTTTCAGTTTTGTAAGAATGTAGACGTTGTTATGCGTTGTTATCATCAGGTTATAACTGTACCAGCATTGGGGAGGGTCTTTGTTTTGTTGTGTTTTATCTGCATAGCAGTAACTAATGAAAGAATATTTTGACAGTGATAAAGTAGAACATTTGTTTCCCTTGGACTCCTCCAGCCTGCAGCAAAGACCTCGTTCCTATAGCTGCACATATGTTTCTCTGCTTGAGAGCACAGTGTGAGGCAAAGATGTTTTTCCTGCGTCATGGGGACCTGCCAGAGCTGAGGAAGGCTGGTTTGAGCTCAACTTTCATTCAGCATCGCTTTAAAAGGTCAAAGAGGGTTTTAAGCAGAGTAGAATAAGCTGGAACAGGGATAAGTGAAGATAACAGTTTACTTAAATTGTATCCTTTATAACTGTTGAATAGATTTTTATATATTATTGCTGTTAGCCTTCTGCCTGCATTAAATAAATTCAATCTATGATTATATTAAAGCCCATCTGTCCTTACTTTATTTCATTCAGTAGTTTCTTTCAGTAGTCTTTCCTGAGTGATGTAAAATCCAGATTGTGTTAGAGAAACAGTTTTCCCCTTTACCTCCGTCATTTTGTTACATGCCTATTGTTACAACCTGGTGCCCTCGTGGTTTACTGTGGTGAAGCTCGCTCACTGTGAGAAGCTGATCATTGCATCCAATTCAAATGTTCCTCTACTCTGGAGAGGTTTCTGAAGAAAACAATACTGATGAAGAAAGGCATGAAAAACATTTATTTATTTTTTTGTTTTATCTTTTTT